GATATTAAAGCTGAGGAGGTCATGGTTGAACAGAGTTATCTATAAGCTTATTTGAAATGAATATAGGCTGGAGTAATCTCCTCTGTTAAACAGGTGAGCCAACCGGTTTCTGAACGTCTCAAATTTACTCAACACAAAGCTTAAAATACCAGCTCCAGTTTGCACAAATCACTCTGCAGATTTACTTTGTTTACAGGCAATAAAAATGTTGAACAGACGAGTTACTGCATCGAGTGTTACAAGATTTGATTCTTGGTGGAATGCTGCATTTCTCCTAATATGTGAAAAGCATTGCTTAAATATGTGTCAACAAGAAGATACATCAAAGTTTTTTTTTTTTTTGTAAAGTATATGTGCATCAATCTACCGAAACAGAATTTTTCATGTCTAAAATTGCTTTAGTGGATGACGGGGAGCTGTTGTAGTTTTTTGTTTGTTTTTTTAAGATATAGAAACGTATTTGATTTTATTTTCCAAGCACAAATGAAATGAAGAAATAGTCTAAAAAATTAAATTCTATAATGATAAAAAAACAAACAAATTCTTTATATTTGCATTTTATTTATATAGTATAAAACATTCCATATTTGTATTGTCTCTAATTAAAATGGTTTTCCAGAGCTGGTGTAGTCTTCTTCATATGAAGAAAAAAGTATTTTATATAGAACATGCAAATACACTTAATAATATACGCTAAATAGTATTTTTCTGTCCACTTTTATATTTTTTACACAACTTTAACATTTTTTCCCCCCGCATTATTATTTCTATTAGTAGCAAAATGGTTGTCATATGAAGGTGTATGAACAAAAAACAAAGATATACATAAAGATTTAAATAATGATAAACAGTAATAAAAAAAGAGACTACATTACTACAAAAAATAGGACATGGTCATTCTAAGAGATGGAAAAGTGAAGAATATAGAAATTGTGCAAACTACAAAAAACAAAATGTTTACATAAATATTAAAAACTGTGGATCTTGTTGTGGGGGGAAAAAGCATTCAACTATTTACTCCAATTAAAGGAAAAGTCCGGTTAGCAAGGAATTATCCATCCATCCATTATCTGACACGCTTGTCCCGATTGGGGTCGCGACGGGTGCTGGTGCCTATCTCCAGCAGTCAATGGCCGAGAGGCAGGGTCCACCCTGGACAGGTTGCCAGTCCATCGCAGGGCAACACAGAGACAAACAGGACACACAACCATTCCCGCACACACTCACACTTAAGGAGAATTTAGAGAAGCCAATTAACCTAACAGGTCATGTAAGGTTACGGTAATTGGCTGGAGTACCCGGAGAGAACCCACGCATGCTCAGGGAGAACATGCAAACTCCATGCAGAAAGACCCGGGGCCGGGGAATCAAACCCAGAACCTACTTGCTGCAAGGCAGCAGTGCTACCCACTGCACCACTGAACAGCCCTATCACTAAGTCTGGGACCGGCCATTTTTGCCCAAATATGACAACGTCTTCCAGCAGTGACGTCTTACGGCAGTGACGTCACGGTGCTGTAAGCCTAGCGCCATTCTCCCTGCTTTACAAGCAAAATCAGTGGGAACTACTAGATACATCTGCAATAAACAACAATTATTGAAGATTTCCAGAGGACTTCAGGGTTGAAATTCATAACAGCTATAGTTAAACTGGCTGTTGGATGTTGTAATACATCGGGTAAAAGTGATTCCTGATCCTCCACGAACGGGTCCATCGTTAGATTGCCAACTCGAAGAGTGAGGATTTGCCATCAAACTTCTGGCCAGAGAAAAATCACGTAATATGTAGCCAACATTTGGAAGAAGAATGTTTTCAAGATGACTTGGATAATAGCGCGTTGTGACAAAATACCAGATACAGCACTGGGACTTGATCAACAGCCGATACCGCACCGTGACGTCGCAAACCAGTAGGTGGCAGTAGTGTTCTTTGACAAACATGGTTGCCTCCAGTAAAGCACATTCAAATGAAAATTAGTCTTATCATTTATTGACACTTATCATTTATTGAACAGTATGTAATAATTTCATATTTAAAGTACTTTCAGAAGTTTTTCAATTTTGAATATGACCAGACTTCTGCTTTTAATAAATGGAGATTGATATAATTCAGTCAGTCGGCATTGTGTTTTATCTTTGCAAAGACGGAACAAGACATCATACAGCCGTTGTTGCACGGTAATCAGCCCTCTTCTGACCCGGCCAGCATTTGTCTTACTTACTTAAAATGATGGAAATGCTGTGAAGTTTGTGTCAGAGTCAAACACTGGGTAAACCATAACAAACCTTGAGATAGGATCTGGCTTGTTATGGGAATAGTATTTCTTGTATGCAAACACTCCTCACTCTGACATTATATGGCAGTGCAGGTAAAACAGACTGTGTTTCTTTTAGGCACATTTGTAAAAGACAAGCAAGACTTCTATCAATGTGTATAATGATATACAGAGATCAAACAGCATCATTTAGGATGCAGCGGCATGATGTAATACTGAAAATACTGTTTTAAAACCATGTGCGCTGGAGGGATGATGAAAATATGTATTTCAAAAGTAGTTTCAACTGCATATAAGCTGAACTAAAGATTTAAAGACTTTGTTCTGGTTAGGAATGAAATCATGTATTTAAGTAAATAAGCATTCTTTGTATTCAAATAAACTCCTGCAATAAAAAAAAACGCATCTTTCTGTGCTACCATGTTTGAGATGAGATTTTTTAAGAGTTAAGTTCAGGTTTAAGATGATGCAAATATTGTGTTTGTTTTTCTTACTGAAAGAGTATTTTGTTGATTTATCTGCCAGATGCACCTCTGTCTACGGGACTCCCACCATGTATGTTGACATGCTTAACCAACCAGATTTTGCTAAATATGATTTGTCATCCGTAGAGGGGGGTAAGAAACACAGATGAATATTGATTTTGATGTTCGTATTGTTGCCGGATTAATTTAAATAATCTTATTCTGAACTGCAGGCATCATGGCTGGCTCCCCATGCCCTGCAGAGCTGGTGAAGAAAGTGGTGTCTGAGATGGGCATTAAAGAAATGACAGTGGGTAGATTTTCACACAAATCTTAGTAAATGGCTAGTTGTGCGATTGCAAAAGTAAATTTTATTTCCTGACATACTTTAAATATGCAGTTCAGCTTTGAGACACAAGAGGGCGACGTATGATACAGTGAAGAGGCCAAGATGATCAGTTTAGAAATGTTTATTGGATATGAAAAGTCATTATTATATAAAAAAATGATAAACAATAAATGAGCAAACCCCATTCAGAAATACATTAAGTAGAAAGTAAAAAAAAAAAGAAAAACTTGAGTGTATCCTCCTCATAGTTGCACACGGTGGGAAGAAAAATCTAATATTCTGAGGTGACTTTAGCAATAATAGAAGAAACTGTAAGGACAAAAAATTGTTCTCTCTTCTATTTAGTCCTTTTGGACATATAGAACCATTTAAAAGTTTTCTGTACACTTTTCCACATTTTATAACATTATAACACCAAAAATTCAAGAGATTTTAGATTTTAGATTGACTCATGCTAAGTGTTTTGATGTAGGAGGAAGCTTGTGAATCTTTTTAACAAATAACTAAAAAAACATGATGCAGTTACCATGAGTAAAATCCATCATAACGTTCAAAAGTCTCTATATGTAAATTAAAGGCTGTACTGTGTTAACCAGAATCAGAATCAGACATACTTTAATAATCCCAGAGGGAATTATTAAAGTATGTCTATTAATAATGTATAGTTTATTCATATAGGGCCAATTCACAACACATGTCATCTCAAGGCACTTTACAGTTCAACAAATCATCCAGTCAAATTGATTCCCAGTTTTCTATCTAAGGAAAACCAGTTGATTGCATCAACTCATTGACTCGAAGGCAATCCCTCACATTAAGCATGCTTAGTGGAGAGGAAAAACTCCCTATTTAACAGGAAGAAACCAGCTCAGAGTGAGCGGCCATCTGCCAAGACTGACTATAGAAATCCGTTCTTTATCAAAAAAGTAGTACAAATATATTTACTTTTGAACAGAAGTCATAAACCTCTTGGTTTAAGTTATGCTGGTGCTCTAGTAAGACTGGTCATTAAACTTTCTTCACTAAGTGTAAAACGGTGCATAGCAGAGAACTAACACTGTAAATTACCCTGAACACACCATCCCCGTAGTAAAACATGGTGGTGGTAGTATCATGCTGTGGCGATTCTTTTTTTGTCAGTAGGGAGATGAGTGCTGGTCAGAGTTAGTGAGAAGATTAAATTAAGTTGATTACAGGACAATTTTAGCAAAAAATAGCTGTTATAACTGGGATGGTGTGGAAGAAAAGTTTATAGCAGCGTATAGATCAAAGCATTTCTATCTGTTAAAGGAGATGGCTACAAGTTTAACTCCTCCTGCCCTGTAGGTAGTGAAATTGTGTTCTTCGGTGTCTTGTCAGAACAGCATAGACTGTAGGATCAGCATACATTGTTCTTATACACATGCGCATCAGAGAATCATTCCCACATTGGATTTTAGCAGCAGCATACCAACCAGCAAAAACAGATTTATTTAAACTTTTAAAAACGAAAATCAGCTTTAAATATACTGTTAATTCTTGGATGTAGAAACAGCCAGAAAAAGAATCCTCTATAGCTAAAATCCAATTAGTCAATATTAATTTAAAATAAGTTACTTTAGTAGCATAAAAAACATGTGTGTGGGAATTTAAATTGGGTTAGATTTCATTTTCATGATTAAAGTGATGGAAACATTGGCTGTTATTTATATCAGGACTCTGAAATCATTCAGGTTAGATGGAAATTAATCGTATGCTGATCTGACAGCGTATGCTGTTCTGACAGGACACCAGCTCTCCTCTGATCGATCCTGCCAACCACTTTCCATGTCAGCTAATGCTAATGCTAACCACAAACATTATAACCTGCATTTTCAGAACAAAAGAGGCAACCTCTTTAGCTTTAGTCAGCACCAATGCTCAAAAGTTGTGTTTTTTTTACTTGAATTTGGGAAATGTAAATCTGAGAAGAACCCGTTTCTCAGCTCTATCATGAAGAAGCCTCTGGAAACGCCTGACTGAGCTCCATCTAATGTGACTTCACTTTGTGGGTCACAATCCTTTAGTGTCAACGCTGGCTTAGTAAACAGAAGCAAATGTTTTTATACCTATCAAAATTTATAAAACAAGTATTAATATACTATATATTTATCTACAGTAAGATGAATACTTTTATTCTGCTCCAATTTAGATGTTCTGTTGATATGTTATTGTTGAAAAATTTTATCCTTTGATGAAAAGATGAAGCTAGGACATTTCAAAACGGCCCAATCAAAGAGCAAAATCCAATCAAGAATCTGTGGCAATACATAAAAATAAAACAATCACAGATTCTCTCCATCCTATCTGACCTATATTATGCTACTACTATGCCTTTTTAGATATTTATTTGTAGAATAAATAAAAACGTTGCATCCTTCTTCCTCCTCTCCCTAATTATGAACCTTTTTGGTGTTGGAGTGTGGCATAAAATCTCAAAGAACATTGAGATTTGAGGTTGCAACATGATCAAACGTTAAAACAATTGGGCACTATGCGTATTTTTGGTAAGGCATTGCATTTAGATGTTAGATGTTTAGGTTGGGTTACAGTTTAAAGGGTGATAGATGAATACTAAGGTCCCCTCAGCGGTAATAGAAATGAGTTAAATGTGTAAGGAAAAATCAACATCTTCCCTTTTTGTTGTGAATTACTTTTTCTTTTCTGGTTGTCTCACACTTACTTCATAGCTGCTTCCATTTTATTATTCAGTCTTTGATATAAATGATAAAAGAAAAGCATATGTGTTTGTATGAACCATAATGCATGAAGCTTTTTCTTTACAACAGTCCCAAAGCAGGTCAGTAAGCATCGCTGGTCATCTTGAGAGACTTCTTTTCTGTGCTTCCTGCAGAGGGAGAGAGCCCTGGCAGAACAAAACAAAACAAATTAACAAAAAGAACAGGTGTCAAATTAAAGAGTTTTTCCTCCCAACCAGACACCCTCATGTCCTGGACATGGTGTACCACGTCCTAGGGCAACAATTAAAAACTATTTTGTTTTAAGATGTGTGCATAAATCCATATTCTGGGCAGTGGTGGCCTAGTGGTTAGGGCCTAGAGCTTGGAATCCTGAGTTTCTGAGTTTGAGACCCACTCCCACAGACTCTGGGTCTCTGAGCAAGACCCTTAACCCCACACTGCTCCCCGGGCGCCCCAGGATGGCAGCCCACTGCTCCCCAAGGGGATGGGTTAAAAGCAGAGGTAAATTTCTCCAATGTGAGATCAATAACGTTCAATTATTATTATCCTTTACAGATGCACTGTATGGCTTTTTAGGTGTTGAATACCTGCATGGCTGAAGGCTCAATGACGTCGGCCAGCCTTGCCTTTCCTTGTCTTTTGTCCTTTGTCTTTTCTCTTTGCCTTTGTCTTTGTCTTTGGCTTTTGTTCTTCCTTGGTCTCGCACGTCTTGAAAACAGTGCTATCTCTAACTTTTATCCCCTTCTGTGAAGGAGGTGAGGCACAAATAACATCTGTTTCATCTTGCTGCGAGTCCATCCACCTAAAATAAGAGCCAGGAAGAAGAAAAAAACAAAACAATTTTCTTACCTTTTAATTATCACACAGGAAATGAGTCAGACATTGTTAATTGTAAGGGAGATATCTTTATATAGCTCTGAAATAGTTTAAAAAGCAAAAATGTCCATGTTTATTGCTGGAAGAAGACTGCTGGTTTAGTAATATTTATTTTTGAAAACTGGTAAATGTGTCGTACTGTTGAGTGTTTTAATCTCATGCCAGCAGATGTTTAAAGTAAAATTGAAATCTTATTCTGAGTTCACCAAATCATCCAGTCAAATTGATTCCCAGTTTTCTATCTAAGGAAAACCAGTTGATTGCATCAACTCATTGACTCGAAGGCAATCCCTCACATTAAGCATGCTTAGTGGAGAGGAAAAACTCCCTATTTAACAGGAAGAAACCAGCTCAGAGTGAGCGGCCATCTGCCAAGACTGACTATAGAAATCCGTTCTTTATCAAAAAAGTAGTACAAATATATTTACTTTTGAACAGAAGTCATAAACCTCTTGGTTTAAGTTATGCTGGTGCTCTAGTAAGACTGGTCATTAAACTTTCTTCACTAAGTGTAAAACGGTGCATAGCAGAGAACTAACACTGTAAATTACCCTGAACACACCATCCCCGTAGTAAAACATGGTGGTGGTAGTATCATGCTGTGGCGATTCTTTTTTTGTCAGTAGGGAGATGAGTGCTGGTCAGAGTTAGTGAGAAGATTAAATTAAGTTGATTACAGGACAATTTTAGCAAAAAATAGCTGTTATAACTGGGATCGTGTGGAAGAAAAGTTTATAGCAGCGTATAGATCAAAGCATCATAGATCGTCATAGATCAAAGCAAAAACGTCCAAGTTTATTGCTGGAAGAAGACTGCTGGTTTAGTAATATTTATTTTTGAAAACTGTTAAACGTGTCGTACTGTGGAGTGTTTTAATCTCATGCCAGCAGATGTTTAAAGTAAAATTGAAATCTTATTCTGAGTTCTGCTGTAAAAGTTTCTCCACATAAGGAGTAAACATAACACAGAATTTAAGACCCTGTTGTCTAGCCATTGAGATTTCAGGTGTGATATCTAGATGTGCAAACCTGACCAATTGATCTATATACCAACAGCTAAGTTAGGGCTGTAGGCCTATAAATACATCCACGTATAGAAAGGGTAAGAAAAGAAACCCAGACATCCTTCATCCTAATGACCCACCAGTTCATTGTTCAGGGTCCCATGGTTTATCCTGGACAAAAAGGAACTGTGGCCCTTCTAGTATATTCTAGTTGGACCCCCAAAACAAGGTGCTTAGGAGCAATCCTGATCCAATTCCTAAACCACCTCAAATTAATTTTTTGATGTGATGGAGCAGCAGCTCTGCTGACAGCTCTATATAGATGAATCCTCACTCTGCCCCCAGTGCCCGAACCAAGCTTTCCTACAGACCAACAGTAAACCGTTGGGTCCTGGATCTCATTTTCTGGGTTAGGATTCATCTTTGTTCAGAGATGAGGCCTGGAACATTTACAGACCAGTAAATTGATAGCTTCTGTTTTTTAGCTCAGCTCTTGACTCAATGCCTTGATTCCTACAGACAAAACCCCAGTGTTACTCTTCATCTGCCTCACCATTCTGTGACAACAGAACTCCTTAGCTCGATACAAGACTTACCCCTACCTGACGGAGCATTCCTTCTTTCAGGTAACAGAGAACATGAAGAATGGGGGTGGGGGTTGGGGGCGTGTCCCTTGGGGGGGACAAAAAAATCTCACCTGATCATCCAGACCAACAGTTACCTCTAATGACCCCCATTTCAGAGGCATAGACCAGTATCGACTCCCCATTCCTAAGAGGCGGACCCGTTTTTCTGATTCAATTTGCATTTTTTCTAAGCCAAAACAAGTTGCCAACTACAATGGGCAGTTCTAGACAGGGGCCAACGGGGGCCAGTGCCCCTGTAGCTCATGTCCTGGCCCCTGCACTGAAGACATAATACTTTGTTACTTTTTTTTTCTTTACAAATTCTGTTTTACTAACATTTCAAACACAATAAGGTGATAATAAGGCTTCAGTGGTATTGAGATAGGATCCCAGTTTTATCTTCTAAATGTTTTTTTTTTTTAATGCTCTAATGCTCTAAATGTTCTAATTCAGATTTTATTTGAAAAAAGCGGTAATTTGAACTTTAATTATGTGAAAAATATGTAACATCTGGAAATCCTGAATGTATATTGACCTAATAAGAAATAGAGTTTTAATTAAACCTAATTGAATGGAAATTTTACTTTATGCAGCTCTCTTCATTTATTTGAATCACAGCCCTGTTTTTTTATTTCAAACTTTTTTGTGCCCCCTTGAAAACAATGCTGGCCCCCTCCTGGCCCCATGGTACATTTGGTCTAGAACCGCCACTGCCAACTACTAAATAAAGCTTCCACTTCAACTGTAATTCTGACATTTTGAGTTGAAAAAGCTTCTTGGATGGGAAGCGAAACATCTTCAAACTTGGAAAAAAAGTCCAGTGGATTGTTTTTTTGTTTTGTTTTTTTTTTTACTTTTTTGGAATGGCTATGACCTGGATGACTGATCCCAATCTATAAAGACTGGGACCCATGTGGTATAAAAAAAAAACCCTCATGCCAAGCAGTAAAGCCCCACAATGTCTAGAGCCTCTAGCATATAGTAATGGATCTTGTCCAAAGGTAGCTAGTCAGCTTTTATGGGAGTCCCCAGAGCCAACCCTCTTCAGCTTAATGGGTTCTTTTGCCACTGGTCTCTCCCAACAGGTCCTTTATTTTTCACTTATACAGCCCCATCAATTTATATACCCCAACCGTATTTGGTTTTTCCCTGACGTGCAAATTGAAGATCTTTAAAACTGCTTTTACCCTCATTGGGATTTCCTAGGTCTGTTCAGCAGACTCTCCTGTAACACCAAATCAAACTCTTTACCAGATGCTGCTCAGTAAGCTGCTCTGCTTCCTCCATCACAACTGTTTAATAGATCTGAGGGCTTTTGATTCAAAAAGCTATGCAAGCATGATGATTTCTGAAGATGTCTGCATATTTCTGTTATAATGTAATGCCTGACTTTAAAAGCTAACTACTGTTTATCCACTATGCTAAACTACTACTAAAGTGCAACAAACTAACTTTGAGCTATAGTTAAATGAAAAACTAAGGGCTGTAGGTGACTAGAGCTAATCAAGTCTTGTTGATCCCTAAAACTAGATAAACATTCCTCAAAATGCATATTTTAACTTCCATTAACTCCTGCCCACCACACTCTAAACTTTAAGGATATTATAGTTTCATTAATGCTGCACCTTATTGTTTTGCTTGAATAATAGACACTTAAACTTGGCTGACAAGGTGCACTTAATGTTCTATGATTTAACATGAAGGGAAAAGTAAGCCATAAAACAGAAGCTTCCTTATAGTGTAAGTACATGCAATAATTGGGAGTGAGGATGTGTTGCCAATGCCAAGATGCTTAAATGTCATATGTGTGGTTAAAGTTTTTGAAAAAACAAATTTAACTTGAAATATCATAGCAGTTTGTAAATATTTAAAACAGTCTTATAAGTGTTTTGGTCTCAGGTGAGTCTCTTACTTGCGCAGTGGAGCCAGCTGGCATGAGCAGCTCCAGCTGTTGTTGAAAAGGGTCATGTTGGTGATGGTGTCTAACTGCATAGCACTGGGAAGGGACTTGAGCTTGTTGTTATGCAGGTGAAGAACCGTCATTGCTTTTACACCATTAAATGCACCTGCAGAGAACTACAAAAAAAAGGGAAAGTTAATTAGTTATTTTTTTTGTATTTCAACTTTTATAGGCTTGTTTATCTGACTAAGGACTTTGATAAAGGACATGGGGATTTGCTTAGGTTCTTATTTTCAGGATGAAAGCCTCTTTTCATCTTTTCTCCAGAGACCCTATATGTGTAAACACTGACATTTACTGGCCTCCTACTTTTACCTTCAGTTTCAAAGGCATCTGTGAAGGTGCTAAAACCTTCAGTAAGGTGCTAGCTGAACTTGCCTATGTCAAGTTTGTCTCCTGTGAGAGGAAGATAAGGCTGCTCTTTAAAATTTTTTCAGGCTAGACTTAAAGGGGAGAAACCATTTGGAAATTTCCACTGGTGTTTTCTAAAAGTTGAGGACTTCCCTCATTGCAGAGCTGTTTTGCTCCTTCTGCTGTTTCCGTTTTGATTCTGTTACTTTGCCAGTTTGGCTCCCAAAGAGGCTGTTGTTCATTCAGTTAGCTAAAAATACTCCTCTTCATGCACCGTGGAGCACCCTGCCTCTGTTTACCTGTCTTCTAACTCCTCCTGACCTGTTTACAGGACCCTTCCAGCCAGGGTACAAAATACAAACTGCTGAGAATATTGCTTGTGTAACGATTAGACCTAGATATGCTTGGCAGACGTCCTGCAAACAAAAACATTCTAAAAATACCCGCATTTGGCTGATCAAGTGTCCAAATCTGTCCGACCGCTTGTACTTGCCAGCTCCTGCTGCTTCCACCTGGTTTCACACCACCCCAGCGTCTGAAGCATATTTTATAGATGTCTTTCCTTCCAGTGCCTCATTTCACTGGCACAGTTTCACTCAAATATTGTCTCAATCTAAAGTGTCAAACGAAACGTGCATGTAGGGATGTCTGAATAAGGGCTCATACTGTAAATTGGCAAACTGATGTGGATGGACAGGGGAATGTTGACACACTGTTGTATAAGTATCGATCTCATGGTCCTGCTGATTTTGATAAAAAGCATGCATTTAGGGAAAATAAAGTGTGTATTTAGGAGGATGATTAACAAATGCAAGAACTAAAGGTTAAAAAAAATACGACCAGGTGCAATTTTTAAGAATATGTAATTATCAAACAAAGGCATGCATTTAAATTCTCTTTTTGAGAGGAATGTTAAGATTAATGTCGGGAGCAAAAGCTTTTGTGCATGAATAGGGATAAGCTTGTAATTATTTAAATTTATTTTTTATTTAAAATAACTATCAAGGAACCTGCATTTTGTTTCTCTCCCATGTTTGTCTTCACAAAACGTGAACAGAGGTAACCACCTATAAGATGCACAAATGAAAATCCTCACTTGTTAAAATAGGAACTGCATTACCAAAGCACAAATAAAGGGATACATAAAAGATGCACCCCTTTATTTGTGCTTTGGTAATGCAGTTCCTATTTTAACAAGAGCAACATGGAATCCAAAAGTCTTTAATTGTGTGGAAGCATGCATTTTTTAATTATCCCCTACATTAGTCAGTACTTTGTTTAAGTCTTTTTGGGTATACTTCTACCTGCTTTGGAAATCTGTTTTGTACGTTTGTTTATATTTTTTTATTTTCCCCCAATTTTTCTCAAAAGAAATGGTCAAATTGGACGAAGAGCATCAGTGAAAAACAACTTCCAAGTCTTGCCACAGATTCTTAATTAGATTTAGGTCTAGACTTTCACTTGGCCATTATAACAGATCTTTATCCATTCCATTGTTGCTCTGACTTTTTATTTAGTTAGACATCAGTCTCAAGTCTTTTACAGCGTTCTACAAGTTTTCCTCCAGGAATACCCTGCATCGAGCCCCATTTGTCTCTGAGGAAAATATTTCACCCAGTAGGAGAATGATGCTTTCCCTTCTAGTTCCGTCGTGGATGATGTGCAGTGTCAGTTTTGGTCGTTACTCATTTAACATTTGAAGGTATAGGCATAGTTTCCACATCTGGTAATGACCTTGGTAACACACATATGGTTTTGCTGAGGCTATTTTTCAGTCAGCAGCACTTTGTTCAAAGGTTAATTATGGCATATGAAACTTGTTTTGCATGGTCACATGGAACTTTTTGAAAGTTCCAGGCTGTTTTTGTTTAGCCACAAGAAAAAATGCTCAATCTGTGACTATAGTTGTACATCCTTGCCCTTTCATAGAAACCTTTTAAATTTTGTTTCCGGTTTAAATGTTTTCATCATTTAATTGTAGAAATGCTTTTAGATTTATTTTGCACCTGTATAATTTTTGCTGTACTTTTTAACTGTAGATGCTTACCCTCTCCAAACCCATGTTGTCCAGGTGTAGTTTCTCCATGTAACGTCCAAAACTCTGAAAAGCATTGTCTGGGATGGTCTTCATGGGGTTCCTCCCTAGCATGAGCTCCTCCACCACTCGCAGTTTGCTCATGGCTGCAGTAGGATAGGTGGACAGCTTGTTGTTGTCTAGGTGAAATAGAGCTAGATTCTCTACATCGTCTAGGGACCCTGGATGCAGTGTTGTCAGCTCATTCCCACTCAGGTGCAGCCACCGCAGGTCCTTGGTGCCTGCAAAGGTGCCTGGCCGCAGTTCACGCAGCCTGTTATCATTAAGCTGCAGAACAAAGAGGTTGATTAAGGGGGAGAATATTCCCTTAGACAGCTCAGTGATCTGGTTTCCATCCAGGTAGAGGTAGGTTAACTCGGTAAGATCCTCAAAAGCACCAGACTTGATGCTGCTTATCTTGTTGTTGGACAGGTAGAGGTAGACAAGCTTCTTCAGTCCTTTGAATGCCTGGGATTCAATCTCTCGCAACTGGCAATGCTGCATGTGCAGCGAAATGAGTCCTTTGCTTGTGCTGAAGGCCCCTGTGGGTATGCTGCCCAGGTTGTTCCTTTGCAGGTTCATCAGACGGGTGGCCTCTGAAACCTGAGGGATCTTCTTGAGCCCCACGTTGTCACAGATGATATGTTGGAGGTCTCCATGGCAGTGGCAATGCTCCGGGCACTGGCTCAGGACTCCCTTCACCGCAGGCCCCAACACTAGGATGCAGGTTCCCAACAAGAGCAGGCAGGTCACAGAACGCATCCTGGTGGCCTATAACGGAGAAACTTTGTCAGAAAGAAATGCTGAAAAAAATCTGTTAAAGGAGCAGTTAAAGCCAGAGTGGGTTTTTGCTGTGAAAAAATAGAGAGGAGTGAAAAGGTGAGACGTTCGGTTTGAGAGGAGGTTTGCTGATGATCTGAACACACAGCGCTATTTATAACATTTACTTGTGGAGGGGAAAAAAATGAGGAGGGTTAAAGTGAGAGGTCTGTACATGAAGTCAAGTGTCTGTGAGAATTTAACCCCCAAAGAGCAGCACAACAACTCCCTCTCTCTGCAGCCAGTTTGCAGGGGCATCCTGACATCCAGTGTGCAGCAGGAACCAGTCGTCCCAACACATCATAACAAACAGTGCCTATATGTTTTTATACATTATAAGAGGTTCCAGGTGAATGTTTGACAACGTGGCATGAGTTTAGTTAGGTTTTATGCACACTCCCAGACATCACTATTGTTTTTCAGTCTGCGGTGGCAGGAAAAGGAGCCACTCCTGTGCAGCTGTTTTATAACCTGTAATAGTCTCCAGATGGCTGGCATGAAGCAAGATGCAAGTCATCTGCAAAAAGAATACCACCACCATCTTGAGTGGAAATTTTTAAATGCCACTATGCATTCCTGCATGCATTGTTCCTTTTGAAAACCAAGAGTGGTGTTATGTAATGGAGATTTCCAGTTAAACCTCAATGCAAAGGCTGGAGCAGTTTATGTAATTTGGAGACCGTCTCTGGCAGGACGTGAATGGCTCAGGTCAGAGGACGGTTTGGCTTCAGTTTCATGTATTTTACGGTTCCACCCATGAAAAATGAAGAAAATGGAATGTAGTGTTTACCTAACAAATCTAACATTTTATTGGGAATCTTGGTTCCTCAGAGGTTTGGCAGGTAAAGATTCTTGTCACGGTTTCATCTGAAGGAGCCTTACATTCTGCACAATTTAAAGTTTCCAGTTGATGATGGATGATTCTTTTATGCATTTTTTTAATGAATTTGGCTACCCTGGATTTAGAGAAAAACATCCCTACCAGAGGAGAACATATAAAAAACACAACACTCTGTTATGCATGATAAACATGTACTTTCTGTGTCAACAGCTCAACATTATGGAAAGTGAAAAGGGCAGCTTCTAGTTCAATCTATTAAAAATGTGTTTGTTCGTTTGACCCCATGCTTTGGTTCATGTAAGCATACAGATTGCAGTAAAGCTTTGCTCCAAGTCGTATGACTTTTGACTTATGAATCTCATGGATCTCAATTTATGTAGGCAAGTTTGTGTTGAGAAGAGCAGTCTGCACTGAGCATTGATAGCAAGTTCTGGATATTAAGCTGAAAAATATAATAAAAAAGATATCCTAAAGCAATACTGCTTAATGTTTGACCTACACTGTAACAAATGAAATCTCAATAAGTTAGTTTTTTCTTAAAATAAGTGCACTTTTTCTTGAATTTAGGAGGTGAGTGAGACACTTTGCTGATGGAATAAGACAATTTACATTTAAAATAAGAAACAGTAACTGTATTGTCTTATTTAAAGTGAGTATTATCTAATTTTCTTATTTGAAGAGTAGAAATACTCATTCCATTGGCAGATCATCTGATTTACCTACTCAAATTAAGGCTAAATACACTTAATTTAAGATTTTTTTTTACTTCTCTAGATCATTTTTGCAGTGTAGGTAATAGTCTGCCAGTAGTCCAAAATCTAGTCTGCAGGGATGAAAGCTCTACAGTAACATGTCGTGGATGACAGCATCTGTTTTTCACAAGCACAGCCAACCCACCTCCCTTGCTTTTGCCAGCCTTTTTTAAATCTCTGCCTGCTTGTATGGTCCAAAACCTGGCAGAGGGTCACTGGGGTTCGTTTCAGTGAAATACATAATACTGCATTGCTGATATTCTTGCTGGGTCTTTGCTCCAGATTCGAGTTAATTTATCTTGTTTGCCAAAGATCATCTTTTGCCCAGAATTATATCTCGCCATCTCTCTAAGGAATGGGGACCAAAGAGCAGGAAGGTGTTTGCTTCTTGCAGCATCAGCAAAAAAGATTGACTCTTTTAGATGTTTTCTCCAGGCATCAGAATACAAATCAAGACCAAGTGTGAATCCTCTTAAGTATTTCAACTATTAGATCAAAAGCCCATTCATCCAAAAACTTCATTAGATTAGATTAGATGAGCTTTATTGATCTCACAGCAGAGAAATTCACTGGTCACATATTGGCATAGTAATTAAAGAAGGTGCAAACAAGGAGGAAAAGGTGCATTAAGAATAAACAATATATATACAGTATATCAAGATAAATAAGGATTAAGGTGCAAGTGTACATGTATGAAAAACAAAATAAAAATAAGAAAAAAGAAATGAAAAAATAAAAGGGAGTAACACAGAGATTTGAGGTGTCATATGCACAGTCAGGATGGCTTATATACAGGTGGATCAATTTTTACATTAAAGTGCAGTAGGTAAGGAACAACGGTGAGGTAGTGGTATGACTATTATATTCACATATATTGCACAGTCAGCATATTGCACAGAATATTGCACAGTCAATAAAAAAAACTTCAAAATCATATAAGTTACATCAGCAGTTAAAGCATTGAATTTATTAGACAGTTCTGAAAGCTTTGAGTTGTAATGAATCATTATGATTACAGTCTAAAATGTTCAGCTCAGAGGAACAACTATGCTGTTCTATGTATTTAATTATTTCTAAACACAGACGTTCTATTTAAAAATGACTGGAATTTTCGTTTGATTAATATATAAGAGAAACAGTTCATTTAAACTAGGGCTGCAACTAAAGATTATTTTACAAATCAATTAATCTGTTGATTATTTTTTCGATTAATCTAATGATAATCAGATACCTAAAGGTTCCTTTAAGAAGATTTTATACGAAATGAAACCAGGTGAAAATAAAGCTTTTCCCCCCTGAGAAGTTCTGGATAGAGCATACTGACAGACGAAAAAGATTTTTCTATCTTAAATACAAAATGTTTTTATATATATATTTTTTTTTTACAATTTTGGTATAATAGCTGCTGTGTAGCTCTGTCACCTAAAGACACGTTTCTAGAGTCTCTACACTGCCGTTAACGATTAGTTCATATAGTCTGTTTCTTCCCAGATCTGTTTCTAGACTTAAATTCAAGTGCAGTACAAATATTGTGGCTAGCAAGTTTATTTATTTTTAATTCCACCAAAGAATTCCAGTTGCAACCAGTTCAGCTTCCTGATAACATTACTTCAAATATCTCAGAAAGGACATTGATCCCATCAGCTGAAGGCTGAGAGGCTAACAGGACTGCAGCAATCAGCAGCTAAATTTTAATGGAAACTCATTTAAAAATGTTATTATATTATTTGAATGCAGTCTTTGTCGGCATGCATGTGATCATCCTGACTTCTGTCTTCATTTTTTTTTCTTCTTCTTGTTATTAACAGATAGGATACGGCACCACAGAAAACAGCCCTGTGACGTTCCTGGGTTGTCCTCTGGACAACATGGAGCGGAAAACTGAGACTGTTGGCTACATCATGGACCACATAGAGGTACAACAACATTCTTCTTATATTCAAAAAGTCAATTAAGGTTATATTTCAGTCCGATGTGAAAATCTTTCTTTTTAGATTATGCAGATGTTTTCGTTAAAACAAATAATGTTCAATTTCCCTTAGGCTAAAATAGTAAACCCTACAAGTGGCCAGGTTGTGCCTCTGGGGGAAAAGGGAGAAATAATGGTCAGAGGATACTGCGTGATGCTGGAGTACTGGTATGAACAGGCTAAAACAGAGGAATGCATTACTAAAGACGGCTGGTATAAAACTGGGTGAGTCCTAAAATATCTCAGTGTAAAAACAATCCCCTACAAACAAACCATCATTGCTTGGACAGTAAACGATATCCAGCCTTTTTTTCATTGACGTATTAAAACAAAACTGCTGTTTTTCCTTGATGTCTTTAATATCCAGAGACATTGCCAGCTTGGACGCTTACAGCTACTGCAAGATCGACGGCAGGATTAAAGACATGATCATTCGAGGAGGAGAAAACATCTACCCTGCAGAGATCGAGCAGTTTCTCCACACACATCCCAAAGTCAAGGAGGCACAGGTGGGAGAGATTAAAAGCGCCATCTGTGGCCACAAATGGCAACTGCAGGACAAATTCTACAAAGGGGTCAAAATTAAAACAATCTTGGAATTTATTTAGGATGATGCTGAACAGCATTGCAATCCTGCTTCAGTCAATAATTTGACTGATTCCTCATAACCCCACATGCTAATAAACTATAAACTCCCTTATTTTGAGTCTTTAATAATATATTTATTCTTTCATGTCTGTTAGGTGGTTGGAGTCCAGGATCCACGTTTGGGGGAGGAAGTCTGTGCCTGCATCCAACTGGTGGACGGTCAAGAGTGCACAGAAGAGGAGATCAAAGCTTATTGCAAAGGACAGGTAGCTTTTTTTTTTTTTTTTTACTTTTCATGCTCCTCCTGCTATCTGAGTTTACTGTTGTGCTCAACATGTTCTTGTGCTTCTTCCTTCAGATCGCTCACTTCAAGATTCCTCGCTACATCCTCTTCATGAACAGCTTCCCGCTCACAGTTACAGGAAAGGTGAGTATGCTGGTGAAGATACTCAGTCATTCAGGTCATAGTCAAAATTAAGACACCAGCATTTTTAGAAGTGAATGGCCTTTTTTTAACAAAAGGTAAAGATATTGCAGACCATTTTGGTAAATATTATTATGATAAAATATATAAGTTAATGAATGACACAAAGTGTTACAGCAATCTGGGCACTTCATCTCAAATAATCAATGATTTGATTGTTAAGAATAAAAACTGTCATTTCACATTTCAATTGTTAAGCACAGATAAAGTTAAAAGTTTGCTTCTAAGTTTACATGAAAACAAACCATCAGGAATGGATGAGATTGATGGCAGATTACTGAAAATGGCTGCAAGTGTGATAGCTTCACCAGTCTGCCATTTGTTTAATCTAAGCTTGACAGAAGGGGTCTTCCCTCAAATGTGGAAATCTGCTAAAATACTTCCTCTTTCAAAAACTACCAATGTTAGCCTATCTGCAGTCAATAGTAGGCCCATTAGTATTCTGCCTATACTTAGTAAATTGCTGGAAAAGGTTGTTTTTGG